GAGATTAGGAAAGAAGAATCTATTTTTCCCTTCAGATGTTCTTTTGTGAAATCAAAGTACTTCTTACATATATTAAGAGAAATTTTATTTGCTTTCTTCTGGTTGCAATAATAGCTTTTCTGTTTCTCCTTCCTCTTTCCTCTTTTCTTATTAAAATATTCAATTATAGCAAAATACATGTTTTCTTTCTTGTTATTAAACTATTTGTAATTTATTTGTATTTAATTTCTTGGGTGTTTAAATGTGTAGCCATCAGATTATTCGACCTTTCATCAAGATATGTGTGTTTATGTACAGACATACATTAATTGATTTGTTGATTGCTTTGTTCGAGATGTGCTAAGAAGGGATCAAAGTTTCCAACCTAATACCAATTTCTTTTAAGTGGAGGGCCTTTCACCCTTGCACGTGATGGGCGCGTTGGTGGACTTCTGTTTGTAGATAAATAAATAAATGATGTATATCTCTAACAACTTAAGCTATTAGGTGAAACGGCCATTCCCAATCATTTAACAAGAAGAATATATTTTGACTATCAACATTTTCTGTGCACAGAAGAAGAATGAGAAGAAGCAAAAAGAAGTGCTAGTCCTAGAAGAGACAACAGAATAAGATAGTGGTAATCAAGATCATATTTTGGATCTATAGAGTTCTATATCTATTATGTATTTATTTATATTATATATGTGATTTGGTGCTGGAATTCAATAGCAGTAATTTGATCAATATACATATATATATATATATATTAAGGGGCAGGAACATCAAGAACTGAATCAGAGTGTTGTGCGACATCGACACCTTTGCCCGATAAGAAGTTGTTAGCTGCTATGTTTATCAAGCTGCAAGAGTATGTGTTTTTGTACGGTCTGTTTCTCTGTATTTTTATTGGACGAGGCATGTATATATAAATAATTTTTCATTTGTTGCAGGAAGGATGCTTACAGGGTATTCTCTAATCCCATGGACGTCTTAGAAGTTGGTTCTTTGCACATGCTCTGGGCTGACATTATATGCTTGAATATATATACCATTACATGGTAGTTTGATGCTGACGGTGGCGTTTTATTGCAGTTTCCTGATTATTACGATGTGGTAAAGCAGCCGATAGACTTTGCAACTATTCGGAAGAAGCTAAGGAAAACTGTTAGAAGTGTTTGAAGGACTTGGAGGTTAATTGGTTCCGTAGATTAATTAATAACTGTGGAGCTGCTATTATAACTAATAATGGAAATATTATTATTTTCATTCTCCTTTTTTTTTTGTGTGTGTTTTCAGGTTGACGTTCAGTTGCTATGTTGCAATACAATGTTGTACAACAAAGCTTATACTGTCTACCATAAGCAGGTTTGCAGACTCTCCTATGGATTAGTATTTAGGGTTTGTAATACGTGGTTAATACCGTATTTCCATTTCTTTTGTTACTTTTGTGGAATGCTATGAATAATAATGGAATGAATGTCTGTAGGCCCTTGCCATGTAGGCCCTTGCCATACGAAAGCTAGCCGCGGAAGAGTATGGAAGATTTAAAGATCATGAGGGCAAAGACAAAGTAAAGGAGAAGCATATATTTAACCAGTGTAGTTAGGACTATATATTTTCGTACTTGTAATAATTACAGAGAAATTACGATAAAAAAATAAAATACAATTGTTGACCGGATGAAAAACTATTTGTCATGTATAAAATGTAACTAAAAGAAAAATTTTCCATAATATATTTTTGCGGTAGCTGGATCCGTGGCAAAACCCACTTTTTTTTCTAGTGTTCTAAACATGATTATTTAGTTATATTATCTTTCTTTAATTTGCTTGGGTTATTTTGGTTGGCGGGTTAATTTTGAGTTCTTTAGTTGACGGAATATTATATTTATATTTATAACTATATAGAATGAAATTAATTATAGGCAATATCTGATAATTATAGGAAATTGATTTTAAAATATAGTGAGTATTATATATTATAATTATTTTAGAGCAAAATTATTAATATTTTAAATATGTAAATTGATAAATTATTGTTGTAATATAAATATGGTATTAACATAAGATTTAAATATATATATTTTTATTTTATCATTCAAAATTATAATATTTCATATTCAACAATCTATTTTCCTTCTTTATCTTTCTAATTTTGTCCAAATGTATTTTGATATAAAAATTTCATTAAAAACATATACAAGTTGATATATATATATATACACATATTATATATAATTTTAATAATGCTCAAGACAATAAGTTAAACTATTTATGTATAAAAGTACGAATAATAGTTAAATTCTAGTAATTATTAAAAAATAGATTAATATAAAATAGAAATAGTTAAAAAATAAAAATATATAAATAAAAAGAACTTAGTAAAAAATTGATAACAAACATATTCATATATTCATATATACAATAGATTATAAGATATTATCTAAACAATATAAGGATACTGGATGGTATAAAAAAAAATATAAAATTATATATATTACATTCTAGAAAGATCTATTTGGTATTTTAAAAGGCTTGTGCAACTAGGTTTTTTCATTCTCTTCGCTCCTTCCCTTTCCAACGGCTGTCTGCATTGCTTTCGAAGTTGATTTATATTTTGCGTTTTTCATATTTGGTTGATTAACTTGATTTATATTGAATGGGACCGACAGATGATAGAGGGAGACAACATTTTCGATTCAATTGATTTACACAGTGGAAGGATTTGGCTGTGATTGAATCGAATTGTGGATGGTGGCGAGAATATTTTTCCGTTTATCCGAGTGGACAAAAATTGGGTTTGAGAGTAAATCTACATCTGCAGACGCCTCCAAGGTACATATCTTTCTATTTTACTTAATTATTATGATTTTTTGTAATTTCTATAAAATAATCATCTATTTCCTTTGTATTTTGATTATATTGGCGGGCATGTTAAACCACAATTGGTTCGCTTGAAAGGGCAATCCATAACAACAACGGTTAAAGATGTATGCCAGGTAGGTACTTCATCCATCCATCCCTGCGTTTATAATTAATATGGTCTTTTAGGGTGTTTTTTTTGCTCTCACAGAATGATATAACAATGAATGCAACCTCAAAAATGCTACAAGACAAGAACAATGATAGCAAAAGAATGACAAGGTTAAAATTCATGAAACAATGCTTACTTATAGCCAAAGAGTTCTTCAAAATTACAAAGAAAATTAGATTATATTCTCATGCCATTCACTCATATATATTACGCTTTGTTGCGTCTTATTTAGGTCCTCATCTTCGTCGGAATCCTCTTTATTTATATTTTCAACTTTGTTTTCACTCCCATTCATCAAAGTTTTATCTATAATATTAAAATATCATATATTATTACCTATACTAAAGCATAAAAGTGATGACTTTTTCAAACGATGAAATAAACAAAGCATAAAAGTGATCAATGAGTATACGTGGATGATTTTTTTTATAATTTTCCTGGTTAAAATCTCAACCAATTACAGTAATTTGACATACTGGATATATATAAAAAAAATCATCACAATTGCTTGTCAATTATAAATAATACTAATAGATATTACTGAAATAAATTTATGACATGGAATTAGATTCTTCGATACAGATGATGCTTTCACACATGACAGGTTTTGCTACAGTCTCTCTGATCTCATATAAAACAAGAGGGGTACAGTCGGAATCCCATACCTCCAAGAAGAAGAAATTTGGTTTCGGAAAAAAAAAAAGAATAACGACGGTAAAAACAACAAAACTAACAAAACTGGTAGAAATGGCTGGGCGGAAACAGGTGTCGCTCTCAGCCACCACTGAGTCCAAGCGCAATGAAAATTTTCCGGTCAAATATACGAGGCAGAATTCACGACGCAAACCTAAAAAGATGAAGCACCTTGACAAATTAGTTCTACCTCAGGTTGAGATTAGGGAAACACAAGAAAAGTTCAGTAATCAGCAGTGTGGCATAGATTCGAATGGCGAAAAGGCCTGTGGCAAGAGAAAAACAAGCACAACTATCGCGGTAGATTGTGGATCTGATGATGATGCTGTGACTCAGGTATTATTTTTTCAAACTACCCTTTTTGTCAATTCGAATCCAATTTCATTACTAATCTGAATTTTCATTTTTGAGAGGATATTTGAGAGATTCCTATATAAGGTCACCAAAATATATATAAGAATTGTTTAATAATATTTTAACAAAGTGATATGATATATGTTATTTTTATTTTTTTTAGTGACAACTTGTTGGATGATGTGAGATTAGGAAAAAAGAATCTATTTTTTCCTTGAGTAGTTATTTTGTGAAATCAAAGTACTTCTTACATATATTAAGAGAAATTTTATTTGTTTTCTTCTTGTTGCAATAATAGCTTCTTCTGTTTCTTTTTCATTTTTCCTCTTTCCCCTTTTCTTATTAAAAGATTCAATTGTAGCAAAATACATGTTTTCTTTCTTTTTATTAAACTATTTGTAATTTATTTGTTTTTAATTTCTTGGGTGTTTAAATGTGTAGCCATCAGATTATTCGACATTTCATCAACATATGTGTGTTTATGTACGGACATATATTAATTGATTTATTGATTGCTTCGTTCGAGATGTGTTAAGAAGGGATCCAAGTTTCGAACCTAGTACCAATTTGTTTTAAGTCGAGAGGCCTTTCACCCTTGCACGTGACGGGCGCATTGGTGGACTTCCGTTTGTATATAAATAAATAAATGATACATATTTTTAACAATTTAAGCTAATAGGTGAAACGGTAATTCCTGATCATTTAACAAGATGAATATACTATCAACATTTTCTGTGCACAGAAGAAGAATGAGAAGAAGCAAAAAAAAGTGCTTGTCATAGAAGAGACAACAAAACAAGATAGTGGTAATCAAGATCATACTTTGGATCTACAGAGTTTTATATCTATTATGTATTTATTTATATTATATTTGTGATTTGGTAGCGGGATTCAATAGCACTAATTTGATCAATATACATACATATATATATTAAGGGGCCGGAACATCAAGAACTGAATCAGAGTGTTGTGCGACATCGACACCTTTGCCCGATAAGAAGTTGTTAGCTGCTATGTTTATCAAGCTGCAAGAGTATGTGTTTTTGTACGGTCTGTTTCTCTGTATTTTTATTGGACGAGGCATGTATATATAAATAATTTTTCATTTGTTGCAGGAAGGATGCTTACAGGGTATTTTCTAATCCCGTGGACGTCTTAGAAGTTGGTTCTTTGCACATGCTCTGGGCTGACATTATATGCTTGAATATATATACCATTACATGGTAGTTTGATTCTGACGATGATGTTTTATTGCAGCTTCCTGATTATTACGATGTGGTAAAGCAGCCAATAGACTTTGCAACTATTCGGAAGAAGCTAAGGAAAACTGTTACAAGTGTTTGGAGGACTTGGAGGTTATTAATTGGTTCCGTAGATTAATTAATAACTGTGGAGCTGCTATTATAACTAATAATGGTACTATTATTATTTTCATTTTTCCTTTTTATTTTATTTTATTTTATTTTTTTGTTTTGTGTTTTCAGGGTGACAATCAGTTGCTATGTTGCAATGCAATATTGTACAACAAAGCTTATACTGTCTACCATAAGCAGGTTTGTAGACTCTCCTGTGGATTAGTATTTAGGGTTTGTACTATGTGGTTGATACTGCATTTCCATTTCTTTTGTTACTTTTGTGGAATGCTGTAAATAATAATGGAATGAATGTATGTAGGCCCTTGCCATACAAAAGCTAGCCGCGGAAGAGTTTGGAAGATTTAAAGATCATGAGGGCAAAGACAAAGTAAAGGAGAAGGAGAAGGAGAAGGATATATTTAACCAATGTAGTTAGGACGATATATTTTAGTAGTTGTAATAATTACAAAGAAATTACGATAAAAAAAAATAAAAAAAAAATGTTGACGGGAGGAAAAACTATTTGTCATGTAAAATTTGTAACTAAAAGAAAAATTTTCCACAATATATTTTTGCTGTAGCTGAATCCGTGGCAAAACCCACTTTTTTTTTTTTGTAGTGTTCTAAACATGATTATTTAGTTATCTTATCTTTCTTTGATTTGCTTGCGTTATTTTGGTTAGCGGGTTGATTTTGACTTTTTTACTTAGAGCGATCAGATACATTAGGGAGGCAAGATACATTAGGGAGGCAACATTTATATATATATTATTTATATACTACAAGTGTTTTAAAAGTCGTAATCTTAAATTTTAAAAATACAGTTTATAACTATATAGAATGAAATTAATTATAGGCAATATCTAATAATTACAGGAAATTGGTTTTAAAATATAGTGAGTATTATATATTATAATTATTTTAGAGGAAAATTATTAGTATTTAAAATATGTAAATTGATAAGTTATTGTTGTAATGTAAATATGGTATTATCGTAAGATTTAAATATATATATATTTCTTTTATCATTCAAAACTATAATATTTCATATTCAACAATCATTTTCCTTCTTTATCTTTCTAATTTTGTCCAAATATACTTTGATATAAAAATTTCATTAAAAATATATACAATTTGATATATATATATATATATGCACATATTATATATAATTTTTAATAATGTAAAAACAATAAGTTAAACTATTTGTGTATAAAAGTAGGAATGATAGGTAAATTCTAGTAATTATAAAAAAATAAATAAATAAAAAATAGAAATAGTTAAAAAATAAAAAAAATATAAATAAAATAAACTTAGTAAAAATTTCATAAAAGAAAGAGTATATTTATATATTAATATATACAGTAAATTGTAATACATTATCTAAAAAAATGAAACCATTCTGGATGGTACAAAGAAAAATATAAAAATGATATATATTATACATTCTAGAAGGATTTATCTGGTATTGTAAAAAGCCTGTACAAGTAGAGTTTTTCATTCTTTCCCCTCCTTCCCTTCCCTTCCCTTCTCCTACCTCTGCCTGCATTGCTTTCGAAGTTGATTTATATTTTGCCTTTTCCATCTTTGGTTGATTAACTTGATTTATATTGAATGGGACCAATAGATGATAGAGGGAGATCGCATATTCGATTCACCATGATTTGACTCGGCTTGCGACCGAATTGTGGATGGTGGCAAGAATATTTTTTCATTTATCTGAGTGGACAAAAATTGAGTTTGGGAGTAAATCTATATCTGCAGACGCTTCCAGAGTACATCTTTCTACTTGCTTAATTATTATTATTTTTTATAGTTTATATCAAATAATCATCTTCCAGGGTATTGAAATTGTGATCGACGTTGTTCTGGTTCGCTTGAAAGGGGAATCCACACTCGGAATTACACTGAAATGCACAAGAACAACAACGTTTAAAGAAGTATGCCAAGCAGTTAGTTCATCCATCCCTCCGTTTGTTTATAAGTGATTTGGTTTGTTATGGTGTTTTTTTTGTTCCTATAGAGTGATATGACAATGAATGCAGACACAAAAATGCTACAAGACAAAGTACGATAATAGAAAAAGAGTGGCCAGGTTAAAATTCATGAAACAATGCTTACTTCTAGCTAAGGAGTTCTCCAAAATTTCAAAGAAAATTATATTATATTCTGATGCCATTCACTCATTTATTTTTCCCTTTGTTGTCTTATTAAGATCCTCATCTTCTTTAGAATTCTCTGGCCATGACCAAAGTGGTACTGAGATTGCGGCAATACAACGCTGCTGATCTCAATCCAAACAAGGGAAGCTGACGAAAAAGTATAGACTTTGTTTATTTATATTTTCAACTTTGTTTTCACTTCCATTCATTAAAGTTTTATCTCTAATATTAAAAAAAATCATATATTATTACCTATTCTTTAAAAAAAAAAAAAGGAAAAAATAAAATGTTGACTTAAACATTTATCTTCCATTGAAACCTCTATCACATCCAATATAAATTATTGCATCTATTAGAAATCAAGAGTCTCAAAAATATAATGAAAACGATAAATTAGATAATCATAGCATATTAATCAACAGTATATATATATATATATTTCTGTTGCAGGTTGGATGTTTATGGGGCGTTTTCTAATCCGGTGGACATCTTTGAAGTGGGTCTTCTGCACATACTCTAGGTTGACATTCTATGGTTTTTTGATGCTGATGATGATTTCATATTGCAGGTGCCTGATTATTATGATGTGGTAAAGCAGCCTATGGATTTTCCAACTATTCGAAAGAAGCTTCGGAAAAACTGTTACAAGTCCTTGGAAGATTTGCAGGTTAATTGATTCCATAGCTTATTATAATCACTTTGCAGCCGTGACTGTAACTGATAATAAAATTACTGGTATTTCCATTTCTTTGAGATCTCAGGCTGATGTTCAATTACTCTGTTCCAATGCAATGTTGTTCAATGGGCCAGACACTGTCTACCATAAACAGGTTTAGTTCAGAGTTCAAGGTTTAGGGTTTGGAATATGTGGTTGATATTGCATTTTTTATTTTATTTTGTAAACTTGTACAATGCTATGAATAACGATCGAATGATGGTATTTAGGGGCTTGCCATCCAAATCTTGCCAATGAAGAGTTTGGAAAACTTAAAAATGTTGAGGGTAAAGATGAAATATTGGACAAGGATAATGATAAGGAGAAGGAGAAGGCTCAAGAAGTCGAATTGCAGTTGCAGCAAGCTGTGCAGGAAAGCAGATCAGTAAGGGGAAAGAACCCAAAATTAATGAATCGCTGGAGCAATCACCAGCTCCTGCGGTTGTCCCGACTGAAGATCATCTGGAAACAAGCTCTGGCCGTTATAAATTGAAAAATGGGCCGGAATTATCCTACTCTTACCGCAAAGAACAATCTGAAAGCTCCTCCCATACAATGTCTAATAGTTGGAACCAAGAATTCCTAGGTCTGTTAGAGTAATATTATATTGATACTTCTGAATTTGACATTTTCTCGTCAAGTGTACATCACTTAGGCTAATGTGGCTTGCTTTTTACTTCAAGTTTCGGTTGTAAGGGCAGATGTTAAAGGTAAATTAATTTTTTAAGGAATCTGAAAATTACTATTTTATTCCAGCCTATAGCTCAAATCTTATATCAATTCCCCCTTTCTCCTCTATCTTAATATATATATATATATATTAATATCATATATTCCATTCCCGATCCTCCTTTATCAATTTTATTCATAACCTACTCCCCCGAATTATCTCCTCATCAATGGTTTGTATTAAATTAGGAGTTTAATAGTAATTTTTAATTTTCCTAATTTACATAACTACTTCAAACCTCACTCTCCTTCTTCTTCGACGCAGCATTAGCTAGAAACACAAATGCGTCCCTTCCAACAAAATTAATGGGTGATATCAATGGAAATGAACAAAATGAATTATCCATTACTCCAACCCAATAGCAAGCAATAGAGACATTGGAGATATTGCAATTTCGGATGTTCGAGCGTCTTCGCCCAATACCAGACATAGCGGAACTGGAAATCACTCAATGGCCTAAGTTACTTCTGGGCAGTTGATTTGACACCGACAACACCTTCTACGATTTATTTTATACTGGATTATGACATCTTTAGTCAAATTTGGACAATAGTTTATATAATTGTATTAGTATAATTTTTTTCATTGTTTTTCGGGATTTAGATATTAACGAAGCTATCAGAATCCCCGTCCGGAGTGATAAGAATTTCGTAAATATGTATTAGCAATTAAAATTTCTTACAAACTTATTTTTTAAGAGAATATTTACGTAATGTTTTCTATAATAAAAAAATTTAAAGTTGTCCCAAGACAATTTTTTTTTTTTTTTTGTTTTTGTTTAGAATGTTTGCATAGTTATTCAATATTATGGATTTCCACAAGTTAAAATGGTTCTGGTGATGTTTCAATATTTCTCTTTAACGACTATTAATGCGTTGAGTGACTAATATAAAAATGCTATTTGCATATATGGAAAATGTTGTTCCAATAGTTAAGGTATGATGTAATATAAATTTGACATAAAATTATGATCCAAGAATATGAACGTGCTACTTAAATTCTATATCTATATATAAAATCCCTGAAATTATGCACAATCGAATCATTGTCCAAATTATTATATAAAACAAATTACATATCTACCCATGTACACAATTTCATCCATTAATCTTTCCAGGACAATGAAAAATTCAGGACCTTCTTGAAATATGCAACCAGAACCATACCCGGACCCATATATATATCTAAGATAGAAAGTAATGTAGTGTATTTAATTTTATTTTTTTTATTGAATGTCCATATGTGATACATGTATACATTTCTTAATATAAATAAGATTATGAATGTATATACATAATGTAAAAAACAAATAGGTCACAATCAATTTACTTTGATTAATTACTGAAATGATGAATTTTCTTAATTAAGCTTGTGAATTCTTCTCATATGCAAGGAGTTATGGTTATATTCTTATTAATTTTAAAATTTAAAACTATGACTAGAATATAGAATTTTTTTTTGCATAATATAACTGTATATTAATTTTTGAACAATTTTAACTTTGAATAAAATCACGAAATATGTGGGCTCCACAATGCTTTGATAGTGCGATTCGGGTTTTATGGGTGTTAGTT